TTTTCAACAAAAAATTATAAATAACACAAAGAAACAATGAAGTATAATGCATTCATAGGGGCTGAAAAAGAGAAACTGACATAAGACATTTTGAGAAGCCCAGACATTGGATATCCTAGATAAAGATTTGAAACTGACTACCTTGAAAATTCTCAAAGGGTTGAAAGAGAAAAGGGAAGGAACCCAAAGAAGCCAGTAATAGTGAATGAGAAAGTAGAGAATATGCATAAAGAGAAATTATATTTGTGAAGTTGAAATATAAATAAACAAAATGAAAATTTTACTAATGTGGTTCAACAACAGATTTGAGCAGGCAGAGGGAAACATGAGTTAAATTTAACAGCAAATTATTCAATTTGAGAGGCAGAAAGAAAACGAAGAAAAAAATAACAGAGTCTAAGGAACCTCAGGGTATGTTATCAAGAAGACTAAGATATGGGGGCCAGTGTTGCGGGGCAATAGGTTAAGCTGCCACCTGGGAAGCCAACATCCCATATGAGCACCAGTTTGAGTCCCTACTGCTCCACTTACAATCCATCTCCCTGGTAATGTGCCCAGGAAGAAAAGCAGCAGATAGACCAAGTACTTCGGCCCCTGCACCCACATAGGAGACCAGAATAGAGTTCTGGGCTCCTGGTTTCTAACTGATCTAGCCCTGGTTGTTGCAGCCATTAGGGGACTGAACCAGTGAACAGAAGATCCTTACCCCCTTTTTCTCCTTCTTTCTCTGTAACTCTCCCTCTCAAATAAATAAATATTTTTTAAAAAGAATATGGAGTCTCAGAAGGAGAAGGAAAAAGAATAAAAAATATTTGAATACATAGTGGCCCCAAACTGAAAAAAATTTGATGAAATACCTAAATATATACATCCAAGAAGGTCAACAAATTTCAAGCAGAATAAATTCAAAGAGAGCTACACTGAGGCACATTATAATCAAACCTGAAACCAGTGCAAAGAGGAAAGTTCCAAAGCAGCAGTAGAGAAGTGACTCACCATGGAGAAGTGATTCTCAGTAAGATCACTAAGTGATTTCTCATCAGACACCAGGGGGTCAACAGGTAGTGAGATGATGTATCTTAAGTGCTTAAATTAAAAAAAAAAAAAACTATCAATCAAGAATTTTGTATCTGAACTGTCCTTCAAAACTGAAGGATAAAGAAAGATATTCCCAGATAAACAAGAGTAGAACAGCCTACAATAAATGTAAAGATAGTCTTCAAAAGGACACTGGATGGTAACTTGAAATCGAAGGAAGAAACAGAAATTTCTGGTAAAGGCAACTAGATAGATAAATTCAGAAGGTAATATTATTGTATTTTTGTTTGTAACTTCTTTTTCTTTCCTATGATTTAAAAGCCAAATGCATAAAATGATAGTTTACATAAACTGTGTTAGTTGACACAATGCATGTAAATGTAATTTATGACAATAATATAAAGGGGAGATGGAGCTATATGTTACAACATACAAATGTATATTGCTGAAGCTTTGGTATCAATTCAATCTCAATCAATTTAAAGTTAGGATATTAAATGCAGTCTTGTGTAGTCATTAAGAAAGTAACTTAAAGGGCCCAGTGCTATGGTACAGCGGGTTAACGCCCTGGTCTGAAGTGTCAGCATCCCATATGGACGCTGGTTCGAGACCCAGCTGCTCCAATCCAGCTCTCTGCTATGGCCTGGGAAAGCAGTAGAAGATGGCCCAAATCCTTAGGCCCCTGCACCTGTGTGGGAGACCCAGAAGAAGCTCCTGGCTCCTGCCTTCAGATCGGCGCAGCTCTGGCTGTTGCGGCCAATTGGGGAGTAAACCAACAGATGGAAGACCTCTCCCTCTCCCTGTCTCCCTCTCTCCCTCTCTCCCTCTCTCCTTCTCTCCCTCTCCCTCTTCTCTCTCTGTGTAACTCTGACTTTCAAATAAATAAATAAATCTTTACAAAAAAAGAAAGTAACTTAAAAATATACAGAAAAGGAATTCAAAATAGTACACTAGAAAAAATCATTCAAACATAAAAGAGGGCAACATTGGAAGACTGAGGAACAAATACTATATGAGACATACAAAAAATTTTAAAGTAGCAAAATAACAGAAATAAGTCCTTCATTATCAGTTGTAAATGGATTAAACTCACCAATTAAAAGATACATTAGCACAAACCGAATGCTTCTTTCATGAGCTTTACTTTAGTGTATAAGGCATAAAGAGGCTGAAAATGAAAGAATGAAGAAAAAAATAATCCATGCAAGTAACAACAAAAAGAGATCTGAGGTGCTATGCTAATATCAGAAAAATATACTTTAAGTAAAAAATTGTTCAAAGATTCAAAAATATTATATGTTGATAAAAGGATCAATACATCAAGAAGATATAAACAACATTATGCATTAAACGTCAGAGCTCCAAAACTATGAAGCAAATGTTAATGGAATTGAAAGTAGAAATAGTTCTATAAAAAACAGTTGGAGATCTTAATACTCCACTTTCAGATAATAGACCATCTAAAAGAATAAGGAAATAAAGGACTTGCACAACACAATAATCCAACTAGATCTAACAGACACACATAGAACACTCTAACAGCAACAGCATACACATTCTTCCCAGGTACAAATGAAATATTCTCCAGGAAAGATCACAGGCCATAAAACCATTTTTAGTAATTTCAAAGAGACTTAAGTATTATAAATTATCTTCTCCTACCACAATGGAATGAAGCTAGAAATCAATAAAAGAAGGAAAACTGGAACATTCACAAACATGGAAATATATGTAATATACTCTTAAATATGTATTTATGTATATAATATATATTATATGTATAAATATATAAGCAATATATATTGTTAAATATATACACAATATACTCTTAAATAGCCAATGAGCCAGACAAGAGGTCACAAAGAAAACTAGAAAACATTTTGAGGGCCAGCACCGTGGCTCACTAGGCTAATCCTCCACCTTGCGGTGCCGGCACACCGGGTTCTAGTCCCGGTCGGGGCGACAGATTCTGTCCCAGTTGCCCCTCTTCTAGGCCAGCTCTCTGCTGTGGCCCGGGAGTGCAGTGGAGGATGGCCCAAGTGCTTGGGCCCTGCACCTGCATGGGAGACCAGGAGAAGCACCTGGCTCCTGCCATCGGATCAGTGCGGTACGCTGGCGGCCATTGGAGGGTGAACCAACGGCAAAAGGAAGACCTTTCTCTCTGTCTCTCTCTCTCACTGTCCACTCTGCCTGTCAAAAAAAAAAAAAAAAAAGAAAAGAAAAGAAAACATTTTGAGATGAGTAAGAATGAAAATGTAACATCCAAAAATTTGGGGATGCAGCAAAGTCAGTGCTCAAATGAAAACATCTAAATTATAAAGTAAGAAAGATCTCAAATCAATAACATAAATTCACGGCTGAAAAGATTAGAAAAAGAAGATCAAACAGCCAAAGACAGGAAATGAAGGAAATAATAACGACTAGATCATATCTAAACAAAATAGAATTAAACCAGAAAGCTGATTTTTAGAAGACCAAAAAATTTGACAAGCTTTCAGCTAGCCCAACTAAGATTCATATTACTAAAATCAGAAATGAAAAGAGAGACATTACTACAACCCTAGAGAAACTAGAAGAATTATGAAAGAATACTATCAACATCAATACACCACAAAATTAGCTCACCTAGAAGAAATGGACAAACTTCTACCTGCACAGAAACTACCGAAACTGACTCAAGAAGAAAAAGATCCGAGCATACAAATAACAAGAGAAGAGACTGAATCAGTAAACAAAGTAAAGACAATCCCAAGACCAGAAGGCTTTACTGGTGAATTCTACCAAGCAGTTAAGTAAGAATTAACACCACTAATACCCAACTTTCCCCACAAAATTGAAGAGGAAGGAACACTTCCTAAAAAAATTCTGAAGCTAACTTATCTACCAAAGCCAACCCAAAAGAAAATTATTTTATAGATACAATGAGCCTAACAAAATTCTAGCAAATCAGATCCAGCAGCACAATAAATGGCTTATGCCCCATGACCAAGTGGGATTTATTCCCAGAATGTAGGGGGTGGTTCAACACGAGAAAACAATCATTGTGATATACCACCATGTAACAGGATGAAGAGGAAAACCACGTGATCTTATCAATGGATGCAGAAAAACTATGAAAAATTCAAGACCCCTTCATGATTTAAAAAAAAAAAAAAGATCGTGAACTAGGAATAGAAGTTTCTTAACATCATAAAAGGCATTTAACAAAACCTCAATGTCATCAGCCAAAGTGGAGAAAGACTCAAAATTTCCCCTAACTCTAACATCAGGAACAAGACAAGGATGCCCACTTTCATCACTGCTATTCAGCATTGTTCCAGAATTCCTAGACAGACAATTGGGCAAGAAAAAGCACCCACCTGAAAAGGAAGAAGTAAAATCATTCCTTCTTGCAGATGATAGGACTTACTAGAAAGAAAATCCCAAAACATCCATCAAAAAACTAGTAGAGGTAATAAGTGAATCTGACAGGGCCATTGCCATGGTGTAGTAGGCTAAGCCTCCACCCACAGTGCTGACATCCTATATGGGCAATGGTGAGTCCCAGCTGCTCCTCTTCTAATCCAGCTCTCTGCTATGTCCTGGAAAAGCAGTAGAAGATAGTCCAAGTCCTTGGGCCCCTGTACCCACACGGGAGACCCGGAAGAAGCTCCTGGCTCCTGGCTTCAGATCGGCCCAGCTTCAGCCGTTATGGCCATTTGGGAATGAATCAGCAGATGGAAGACCTTTCTCTCTCTCCCTCTCTCTGTCTATAACTCTACTCTCAGATAAATAAAATCTTAAAAAATAAATAAATAAAAATGAATCTGACAAATTATAGGATAGATCACTTATGTTTCTATACACCAGCAATGAACAATCCAAAAAGGAAATTAAGAAAATAGCTCCATTTATGAGAGCACCTAAAAATAACAAAATACCTAGAATTAAATTAATGCAAAAACAGAAACTTGAGCCTTCAGAATCCAACCATTTAGAGATACTCGGTTGTTGCTATCACAGAAGTGGTCCTGGTCTACCTAGACACAACGTCCCACTTTCAGTGTAGTGAGAACATCAGCATAGTTTGTTTAGCAAACATTTACGGTGAACTGAACATGTGCTGGGCCTGTGCTGTAAGTGTGACCCTCTGCACAGAAGACTGAGAACCCTAAAAAGACAATGGCCGACCCTTGTCTAGCATGCTTTCTGACTTGACATGGCATCAGTGATTTAGGAACCTGAGCATCCTTTGGGGAACCATCTCTTTCTACCAGTTCATGCAGTCTCTGAGACTGGCCCCAAACTAACCTAAGATGTAGGAATGACCTAGGCTTATGAAATCAATGGATTTAATTCCTAGAATCACAGTAATTTGTTCATTTGGGTCAATCCACACCAACTGCAGGACTTTTGTTTTAAAAAAAAAAAAGGTGGGGAGGGGAGAGGGGCATTTGTAATTAAGCATGATGTTTAAAAATCTCTCAGTAAAGACACTGCCACAATGAATGGGTCACTAGGTGGGCTCAGTAGATGGTGACCATGGTTTATCTCTGCCTTGTGTATCACTCTCTTGGCCTTGCAAAACTCTATTCCAGTCATTGGTGTTTCTGTCTCTTCCACCAGATGACCAGCTCTCTATGGAAGGGAGGAGACATACCTCCAACATGCTCGGTCCTAACACAAAAGAAGGACCCAAACATTCATCTGCTGAAGGAATTGTCCTGATGGACTCAGGTGTCTGGGGCCTCCCACAGTCCTCACTTGTACCCTGGGGTTCCTGCTCTGGGCTGGGACAGGTGGTGGTTCGCTGTGAGTCAGCAGCTGTGGGTACCGATGCGGTCACTGCACGATTCTCACACAACCTCCTAGAAGACGTCATCAGGCTCAGGCAGTGGGGGTGGGGCGCTTTCATAGAAAGCTATCCACAAAGAAGTACCGGAAAACATGAGGTCACTGAGCCCACCCTGTCTCCTCTCTCCGCCCCCACCCCGGGAACTAAAAGAGAGTAAGGAGGAAGCATCAGCAGCTCCGAGCTGCGCAGTCTTTCCTGGGAAGATGCAGCCACTTCTGCTCCTGTTGGCCTTCTTCCTGCCCCCCTGGGCAGAGGCAGGTGAGTGCCCACCCCCGCCTCAGAGGCCTGACCCCACTCCACGGTAGGCACAGACCCCCTGCCCCCTCCTCACAACCTGACACGTCTTCTACCAGCAGCATTCTGAAGCCCCACTCCAGTGCCATACAGAACTCCAGGTACGAGGCTGGGTAACGGTCAGCCAGAAGGCTGTTCTCAACAAGGGCCAGAGGCTGCTATTTCCTCCTCTACACCCCTCCCCACTGACTGGAAAGCAAGACTTTCCTAGAAATGCATGACAGATGGGAAAAGAGAAAACATTAATTCTCCTGAAGAAGGTAGAGAGGACCTAGCTTCTGAGTCTGGGATGAGACAGCTGCTCCCTTCCCCATCTGCTTAGCAGAGACGCCCAAGGTCAGCTGACCCCAGAGTCGTAATCATTGCCCTAAGAACTCAGCCTGCCCAGGGGCAAGGCCCGGGTGAAGCCAGGGCAGGTGTGCCAAGTGGCCGGCTGGGGACAGGATGCCACAGGCACTTTAGCCTTTCCTCAGTCCCTGTCTCCAGCTCTGTTTTCTTCCCAGGCCTGTGGTGGCTCCCCTCCTTGCAGGGTTGAGCCACTGTGGAAGACCCGAACTTCTCTGCTTCCCAGAATCCTACCGGCACTGCCCTCCTAGCCCTCATCGACAGGTTAATATGGGCCACTGCTCCACGCAGCCAGTGAGCACTTACTGATGTCAGGCCTTAGGAGACAGGCTGTAACAATGTCTAGGTCCCTAAATTCAGCTCCTGGCCATGAGTGCCATCAAGAAAAGGCCCGCCCCTTGAGTGCACATGAGCAGAGTTTTCCTGCAGGGGAGATCATCGGGGGACATGAGGCCAAACCCCACTCCCGCCCCTACATGGCCTATCTTCAGTACTGGAAGGATGGTATGAAGAGGACATGTGGAGGTTTCCTGGTACGAGAGGACTTTGTGCTGACAGCTGCTCACTGCCACGGAAGGTGAGGAACAGCACACAGCCCACTCCCCACCCCAAACCAGGAAAAGCTGCACAGAGACTCCCAGGGCTCCCAGGAACACGTGTGCAGGGGGCTCCTAAGAGGGTGAGAAAGAGGACAGGAGAGTCTTGTGGCAAAAGGCAGGTTGGTGCCAGAGGCCTTGCTCAAGTGGGGAAGAGCAGAGGGATCAACTCTGCCGTACTGAGAGCTAGGAGCTTGCTTTGGCATCAGAATGCAAAATGAAGAAACCCCGTGTGTTTTCCTGTGAGTAAGTGACCCCTGAGAACCAACAGCTACAACATTCCACCTCCACTGTTGAGAAGCGGAGGGCACAGACAGCTCAGCCCCAGGGGCCCCTGGTTTCCTGGATTCCCCCTCACCTGCAGCCCTACCCTGCCCCAGTTGTCAGCTGGTCTTCACAGCTCCTGGGCTGTCTCCCCTGTGCGTCCACACCTCCCCATCCCCACTCTGCTCCCTGTGCAGCTCAATAAATGTCACCCTGGGGGCCCACAACATCAAGCAGCAGGAGAGGACGCAGCAGGTCATCCCCGTGAGAAGAGCCATCCCCCACAAGGACTATAAACAGAAGGGCAATATCAACGACATCATGTTACTGCAGGTAGGGCACTCCCACTGCTCTTGCTCTCCCTGGTCCTGTTGTTGACTCTCCCACTGTGAGGCTGCTCCTTCCCTCCGTTCCATCCTGGCCACTTGGCCTGTTCCGGTGCTCCAGAAAAGAGGGAAGATGGGGCAGCCTCATCGTGGTGTCCAGGTCCAGATGGTCACTGGCTGAGACAGACTATCTTGCCTCTTCCCAACAGCTGGAGAGAAAGGCCAAGAAGACTGAAGCTGTGCAGCCCATCAGCCTGCCCAGGGGCAAGGCCCGGGTGAAGCCAGGGCAGGTGTGCCAAGTGGCCGGCTGGGGACAGGATGCCTCAGGCACTTTAGCAACCACACTGCAGGAAGTGGAGCTAACCGTGCAGCAGGACCAGGAGTGCGAGTCCCTCTTCCGCAGCTATTACAGCAGGGCCACGGAGATCTGTGTCGGGGACCCAGAGACCAAAAAATCTTCCTTTAAGGTGAGATTGAGCAGTCACCTGGTTTGCCTCTAGGGAGGGAGATGTTTGGGGGAAGATTTGGAACCTGGAGACCCAAGCAGTGGGGGGCTCCCTCACCTACCAGCAGAAGCTTAGAGGGGAGCAGCCATAGCTGCCAAGTAACTAAGTCCTCAGCAGCTACAAAAGGGAGTCTGTTGATTGCTGCTCCTCTGGAAGGATGGGTTTGCACCACGCTGTCCCACCCCAAGTCACAGAGATTAAAAAATGATGCTCCTGAATGTGCAGAAATTATAACAGGGGGCTTCCTCAGAGCCGCCACCCACCTAGGTTAATGGGCTCATCCTCCATGCAGGATCTCAGCCCCCTGGTCTGCCTTCAGGCCTTTTTTTTTTTTTTTTTATGAAAGACAGAGTTACAGAGAGAGGTAGAGACAGAAAGAGAGGTCTTCCATCCGTTGGTTCACTCCCCAAATGGCTGCCATGGTCAGAGCTGCGCCAATCCGAAGCCAGGAACCAGGAACTTCTTCCGGGTCTCCCATGTGGGTGCACAGGCCCAAGGACTTGGGCCATCTTTTACTGCTTTCTCAGGCCATAACAGAGAGCTGTATTGGAAGAGGAGCAGCCAGGTCTAGAACCAGTGCCCATATGGGATGCAGGCACTTCAGGCCATGGCTTTAACCTGCTGCGCCACAGCGCCGGCCCCACCTTCTGGTCTTTAAATAGTGGCCTGGAACTCTCTGAAGGAGAGGATCCCAGGATCTGGGGAGAAGATGCAGGCAGGACTCTGGGGTGAGGTGAAGAAGAAATGCTGTCCAGGGTCAGAGCTTGGCAGCTAAGGGGCCCATGGCCTGCCTTACCCTCTGGCCTCCCACATGCAGGAAGTGCCATCTGCCTTCTCCAAGAAGGGTTTGGAATGGCAAGGAGGGCAGGGTCAGGAGGAGACCAGTTCAGCCTCTCTCTCTCTCTATTTGCAGGGGGACTCTGGAGGGCCCCTTGTGTGCAACAACGTGGCCCAGGGCATTGTCTCCTATGGACCAAAAGATAGAAATCCTCCTCCAGTAGTCTACACCAAAATCTCAAGTTTCCTACCCTGGATAAAGAAGACCATGAAAACCCGCTAACTGCAGGAAGAAAACTAAGCCCTCTCTGTGACTCACCATCTTCCCTTGAACTAGATCCACAGTTACCCCAGGCAGGTGCCAGCAACTAAATAAAGGTCTCTTAGCTGAGTGGAAGGCTGGCTGCTTGTTTATTCATTGACCCTCACTCACCTGTGCTAAGCAGGCCATCGATGGATCCTGATGTTTGCTTTCTCCTCTTCCTTCTCTCCTCGCCACCTCCCCAAACCCCACACAAAGCTGTTACCCGGCTCCTTCTTACCCCATCCAGTCTCTCTAGGGCCTGCCCTTCTGCAAGGGCTGAAGCTGGGCCCCATCAGGAGAGATCATGGACCCCTCTGGTCCTGGGGCTCGAGATGAACTCCCTGCTTCCCCTGTGTTATGTAACAGATAGAAGGGGATAACACCAGAGATTTTTTTTTTTGACAGGCAGAGTGGACAGTGAGAGAGAGACAGAGAGAAAGGTCTTCCTTTGCCGTTGGTTTACCTTCCAATGGCTGCTGCGGCCAGCGCACCGTGATGATCCGAAGGCAGGAGCCAGGTGCTTCTCCTGGTCTCCCATGGGGTGCAGGGCCCAAGCACTTGGGCCATCCTCCACTGCACTCCCTGGCCACAGCAGAGAGCTGGCCTGGAAGAGGGACAACTGGGACAGAATCTGGTGCCCCGACCGGGACTAGAACCCGGTGTGCCGGCACCGCAAGGCAGAGGATTAGCCTATTGAGCGGCGGCGCCGGCCACCAGAGATTCTAGAGGCCAAGCAGGTGCAGCTGGGGTCCCTGCTCAGGGACATAGCCCCACCCACTGTGGCAGGGGCACGGCCCTCCTGAGCAGTACATTTCTCCCTCACAGTTGGGGTGGTGGGTGGCGGGTGGGGCTGGTCCTTAAGTGGCACCTTATTCACAATTGAACTTAGTTTCCTTCATGCCCCTGCCCCAAAGCCCAGAGCCCAGCCTGCCCTCTAGCCCCCAGCCTGCCCCTTCTTCCCCATCCCTGATGACAGTTCTCAGACTCTTGTCCTCTCCTCTCCAGACCACACTGATTTAAGCTGGTTCCTTCCTCATAGTCCCCCTCCTAGGACATCCAGAACCCCCTGTGGTTCCATCAGGGCTTCACCATGGGGAGTGCCAGCTCAGTTCAGGCTCAGCTCAGGCTGTGGCTGAGAAGAGGCCTCAGAGGGACCAGGGCAGTGCTGGCACTAGGCATGCCCGCTGAGGACAGGGCTGGCAGGGTCTCTCTCCAGAATCCTCAGCCTGGCCCCATCTCTCACCTGGGCAGGACTAGTTCAACCCCCTCACTTACAGTCCAGTGTCCTCCCTCGAGCTCAGGACACCTGAGCAGCCTGAGCCCCTGGCAGCCCATCTCTCTCTCTCTTTTTTTTTTTTTTTTTTTTTGACAGGCAGAGTGGACAGTGAGAGAGACAGAGAGAAAGTTCTTCCTTTTTTGCCGTTGGATCACCCTCCAATGGCCGCTACGGCCGGCGCATCATGCTGATCCGAATCCAGGAGCCAGGTGCTTCTCCTGGTCTCCCATGGGGTGCAGGACCCAAGGACTTGGGCCATCCTCCACTGCACTCCTGGGCCATAGCAGAGAGCTGACCTGGAAGAGGGGCAACCGGGACAGAATTCGGCACCCCGACCAGGACTAGAACCGGGAGTGCCGGCGCCGCAAGGCAGAGGATTAGCCTAGTGAGCTGCGGCGCCGGCGCCCATCTCTCTTGACCACTGCTGGCCTCTAGGCTGAGCCTCCCTGCTGGGCTCCTGAACGTCACCCTCTTGCATTCAGAGGGCTCCTCTTGGTAGCAGGTCTGGAAAGCACATTTTTTCCCATCAGCAACAAACAAATACTTACTGGTATTTAGTAAGCGTCAGATATTGGGGATATGCATGAACACAGTAATGGATCAATCACCTGATCCCAAGTGAAACTGACAGTTAAAGACTTTAACCCCCTCTCCATCTTCCAACTAGTCCATAAGGCCTAGATCTATGTGTAAGATCCATGGGAATAAAGTATTTGTATCTGATTTTTATTCCTGATATGGTTGTATGAATACTACTCTAGAACAAAGCAGCATATGGGATTTGGAAATGACTTTAATCATTTGGTTTCTGGGTGTGAAGTTACCAAACTATGTTTATTCCCCCAGATAATCCCTTTCACCTAGCAGACAGGGCAGCAGGTAGAGAGGAGGAAGACTCCTCAAAATGGGAGAAAATATTTACAACTATGCACCTGATAAAGGATTAATATCCAGATTTATAAAAACTCAAAAAAATCAACAATGCAAACAATCCAGGTAAGACATGGACAAAGGATCTAAATAGATTTTAAAAAATACAAATGACCAACAAACACATGTAAAAATATTCAATATCACTAACCATCAGAGAAATGCAAAGCAAAACCACAATGGGATTCCATCTCACTTCAGTTAGTATGGCTATGATCAAAAAGACAACAAATAAAAAGTGCTGGCAATGGAGTGGAGAAAAGGCAACCCTTACATACTGCAGATGGCAGTGCAAATTGTCACAGCCATTATGGAGAGTAGGATCCAGGTTCCTCAAATAATTAAAAACAGAATTACCATATGACCAGCTATTTCAAAGGAAATGAAATCAGCATTGAAAGAGATACTTGCACTCCTGTATTCATTGCAGCACTGTTCACAATAGTCAAGATCGGAAATCAATCTAGATGTCCCTCACTGGATGAATGGATAAAGACAGTGTGGTATATGTATACAGAGTGGAAGATTACTCAGGCATGATGAAGAATGAAATTCTGACATGGGCAAAATGGATGGAAATGTATGCTAATTGAATAAGCTAGGCCCAGAAAGACAAATGCCATCTGTTTTCTCTAATATGTAGAAGTTTTTTCATATATTAAATTTAAAATTGTGATTATTAGAGACTGGTGCTGGAGATCTGACCATGGGTGAAAAAGTGTGAAAATGGGGGCGCACTCATGAAAACACAATGTTTTCTTCTTTTTGCGGGAAGAGCAGGATTATTATTTTCTGTGA